CTGTCGGCGGCTCCTCCTTTTCGTCGGCCCGAAAGTTGCACCACAAGGACTTAAACGAAACGCGATCACTCGAGCGGAACAAAGCGGGTGTTCCTCGATATTCGTCGTCTGGGAGAGACGCACGCGGTCTCAGAAATTGCGCCCCCGGACTTTCATCCGACAACGAGAAACTCCCTTTCTTCGTTCGCTCCGTGGATTGCCTTGCGTATCTCGACGAAAATTCCCTCAAAATCCACGTTCGGCGTCTTTGTTCTCACGGTTTTCGTTGTTCTCCCGCAGACTGGCTCCTCTCGCGCGTTTATATCGATTCGAGATTTTCGCTAAAACTTTAACGCACTATCTCTATATAAGTTGTGAATGGTTCAAGTTCCGATATTGTAGAGGAGAAATATAGCGGGAGGTCCTCCATTATGAGATAGGCTCCTGATAAGAGATAGCGGGGTTTCTACTACATTAACAGGCATCATCTGTTGGTTCCACCACGAATTTATTGCTCTTGGAGTGAAAGCTGTTTAGTAAAAAATTCATTGTTAGATCGTGTAATCGTTGCGAAAAGTTTGCGATTGAAGCCTGCTATCTCATATTAGAAGCCTGTCTCATAATCGGGGGAGCTTTCCTCTATTGACAATCATTACAATGAGACAATTGTGTAAAGTGTACAGGCACGTTCTCTCTTTCTCGATATTCACGCCACCGTTCGTCTCGAGATGTTTTATTAACCTACGGAGAAAAGCTGTAAAAGAGCTTTTCATAAATAAGGATCGATGCGTGACGAACTTTGTGATCTGCTATTTCGCGGGCGATTATTGTACAACCGTCCGCAATTTCCGCTCTCGTTTCGACACGATACGTCGTGTCGGAACACGCATTAATCCGTCAATGGCAATTTGCTACGGATGGCTTTTACGATCGCCCCGAGAATTATGTCATGCCATATATTAATCCCGTCGAATTTACGATAGTGACCGATAATGCATATTTCATGTTTAAGCACGGACACATCTCTAGAGTTACGTCGTGTGTTACAATATCAATCTCTTATATACCCAAACTTATACTTTCATTCACGTAATTATAGTATCGAGGACATTGAAAATTTGCCATGCAATTTGCTCCGCAAATTCATTATTACATTTATAACCGCCACATAAAAATATTTAAATTAGCAGCGGATTTTTCTTATTTATTATCGATGTGAACACGTGAATTTGCTGACGATAATAACTCCACCCGTAAGAAAACTGCGTTACGTCCGGAAAGAAACCGGCGCGCAGGACAATGGTGGAAAGAAACGGCATAGAAATTCACACTTTAATAAATTACAAGTATAGGCTACCTACATCCTGCCTTAGACCCGCATCAGCCGTTTTCTATATGTTGTTTAATGTTTTATGTCGCGAGATTTGTTCTAGCTCGAGAGAAACTTGAATGAGTTCTCCGGGAGCGTGTAATTTTTCGGCGTCCGGATCCAGCAGTTGGGTGTAATTTACAGAAAAATTTGTGCACACCGTTTCGCAAAAATTTACTCCGCATACGGGACGCGCGCCCGCAACAAAACGGCCGCCTTTACTGCCGGTTTTACGAGCGCGCGTGTTTTCAAAATACCGTCCCCATAAAATGAACTGCCGCAGTATCTCCGCTTGTAGCGTTTCTTTTGTTCCTTTTTTCTCCATTCGCACTTTTAGATCTTTAATGCTCACCGTAGTGACCGCTCGGGCCGGAACCGCGCGGAGAGATAGAACAGCTCCGTTTTTGGCCTTATCAGACGCGCCGAAGTGGGAAACGCTGTTCCCAGTGATACCGTTTAACCTTTTCGGTGGTATCATCCGGCTGAAAAACTTGGCACTTTCCAGCACATCAACTCTTATTCCGCCCCTGCATTTTCTTCCAACTACAAAAACCTAAATCCGCACAGGAGTGAAGTTTAGCGGCAAAAATTTTCGAGAGACAATACCCGCTATTATAAATTTACAGCAAAATGGCGTTCGCGAAATAACGATGTCAATCCGACGACTTTCCTTTTTGTTCACGAAAATTGAATCATTCAGAACGATCGTTCACATAAGTATAAAGCCGCTTTTTTTTTAGCCGTTTTTTAGCCGCTTATGATTTAAATAATCATAAGAATGCAAGGAAAGATGACAAGTTTGAAATATTAAAATATTAAATTTAGGTCAGAATATTTAATTATTCTATACAGAAGAAAGAAAATAAAAATTTGCATTTCAGCGTCAAGTTACGGAGAGAACGACGTAAGGATAGGGAAAGGAAAGGCTTAAATTCAGTTGTATAATTTATCTGTAAATTTGATGTGATTGCATTTTCCTTTCAAAGGACACCAAATCGTTAGAAATCCCTAGAAGAGATATCGGAGTGGCACGTGCTTCTTCTTGCTTCGTGCTTGGAATTCACGAGTCGCGCGCACTCGGAAACGACTCGCTGGCACATTTCAGCCGGACTTGAGAGAGCAACTATGCGTGACCAGTCGTGACGTGCGTGATTTCACACAGAGACAAAGAGAAGCCGAGAGCAAGAAAGAAACGCCAGCGGATCGATGTCGTTGCTGAAGAAATCACACGTATCGACCGTTTTGAACGTTAACGATATTTCGCGAGCTGCGAAATTAACGGCACAACTGGGTCTTGCTTGTCTAGAATGTCTAATTTAGTTAGGACGACATCCGGATTGGATTGTAGAAGTATGGAAATAGAAGATGTGTCTTATCTTTCGCGAAAAATAATTGCGTTTCATAAAAAACTTCAACTATCCAGCGTTGTCCTTGTAATGGCACGGGATACAATCACGCGGAAAGGACGAGTGTCCAGGTTCCATGGTAGCCTATACTTTCCACAAGATTCTAGAAAATAACTATACAAACTTTGGTCCAGATTGGCCGAAGGATTTGAGAGTTATTAAGAAACATGTACTGACATTCTATTTTATATATAGATTTATCACGTGATTCTAAAATTACATGATTCTTTCATCATTCTGCGAAAGTTTAATCTTAGTCCTCCCCTGACGTTGCGCAAGATAAAATATAATGGTATTCAGAGAGTAAAAATATGTTGGCGCATCAGCCTTGGCCGTGACATCGATCGAGAAACGATCGTTTGATCGCGGCGAGAAATATGCGTTCTATTGTGGTACCACAAAGTCGAACCGACGCCTTGTGTAATCCAATAGGACATGTGGATCTTATCAGGGATGTTGACGCTGCACGTGGAATGACGTTCGTTATGGAATATCCAGGTGGCAATTTTGGCTCGGTTTCTGGCTGGGCGCGTTTTCACACGGGACTTACTTTTCTTTCGTCGATGCCCTCCGAATCTCGTCCAAGGTGCCCCGACACGTAAACATCGTCGTTAATTAGTTCGCCAACTACTTTGAATAAATCTCGTTAGCGCTTTATGCGTGAAATTATTTTCCTCCCGCGCAAGGCTGCCCCGGCTTCTCTAACTGAAACTCGACTTCCGAGAAAAACACTTTTCTGATATCTTATCCGTCTAATCGTACACGATTGTCACGGCTGCGTTGACTTTAACAATTAGCCAAGGTGAGCCTACCTCGTGGAGAATGGAAATGATCGAATTCCAGCCTTCGTGATAATTTTTTGTTTTAATTAACGCAGCAGGAAACCAAGTTGACGCTTGTAGGAAGTCGGTATCGCGTGTTTATATTCCCTGCGGCTAATGTCAAAGATAAAATATACGATTCCTTTTTTTTCTTTTACGAGACTGCCACAAGCGATATTTGCAACATAAGCAGGCCGCGATAAACTCCGCGTTGCATCCACGTTGGCACGATCTGATGTAACGAAGTTGTGTTACGGCAGGCTTATATCGGGCAACTTAACACTTTTATGTCACTGTAGCGGCAATCTAGGCTTTACGAGGATATTAGCGTTGGTAGGGACAAACTATTTGGGCGCGATCCAGAGACTTTTATGGCAAGTTTCGTAATTTTACTATCGGCTCTTTTGTCTTCCCGCGCGCCTATTCGTAAATGAAATATCGTCGCCGATGCGCCGGTTTGCACATCGGTGTCTAAGAGACATCCAGTAAACGTCAATCTGTAATATTTATTGCGTCGCACAGTCGCACGCCACGCGAATAGGTTGCGGCTCTTTGTACGTGTCCCGGCGTGAATTTCCCCGGCGGTTTGTGCTTCTCATTCGCTGCTCCAATATTACCGAATTTTACGGCTGCGTCACCTTGACACGCATCAAAGTGCCATCAATGCGATTTTTGACATGCCGTCGGGAACTCGAGTTGTATCGCGAGCGCAGATGGAATTGCGCGTATAGCCAGCATTCAAATGAGTCTAAGATGCTTATACGGTTTTTTTTCAAATACTAGGGCCTGGCGCAGCTGGAGGTAGCCACTTAAATTACTATGTGAATCCATATACCGTGTTTTTTTCCCATCGAATCCTGGCTGAGGTAATATTTTTCGCAATAAGAATTTTAATTTTCAGTATGGGGAAAGGGAGGGGGTTATCGTAGCAAAATGCTAAGTACAGCATTTGTAAGATAATTTAGAAAAATCGTTGAGCGATTTTATAACGCGTGAATTCACTGACGATAATGATTCCACCTAACGAAAGACCTGCGGATGTCCGTTTGTGACGGTGCGCAGGACAGGATGGAAAAAATACGGTGTATAGAGTCACATATAGTAATTTAAGTGGCTACCTCCAGCTGTGCCAGGTCCTAAACGGCGTTTACACTTGTAATTGATTTATATCTTAAAAGGAGCGGGTTAAAAATTTAGTTGGCTATCAATTGTGTCGGTCGTTGTATCTTTATGATTTACCAGGTTTGCAAGTGTTCAACTTTCAATTAGTCTAGAACCCTTTGTATTCTCGCGGATTATTTTACAAATAAACGTAGCTTTGCACAGCGGATCGCTCGAGTATTCGCTCGTGTACGCTTTGTGACGAGGACTCGAAGGACGCGCGTCGAGTACGGCTGTATCTGACTTGCTAATTTCCTGTTTTAGGAACCAAGTTCCTCTGCAGCGAGGTGATAGCGCTAATAAGGAGCGAGGTGGACGACATTTGCCTGCAAATCATAAACTTCGAGGATCTGAGCTCACAGCCGCCACCGCAGCCCCCGATCCCGCCGCCGAGTCAGGCCAACAACAGACTCGCGACACGCTGTATGTTCCAATTTTATTCGTTCCACTTCGACTCGGCTCAATGCACGCGCGTGCTCAGATTTTCACGCGGGAGTTTACCGTAAAGCCCGCGGCGGTGGACCTCGAAATTCGATAGCACGTCCGACATTTCGCGGAAAAGTTCACTCGATCGCTGTTAATAAATACAGCGGGCGTACCCAAGAATATCGAAAGATACGACAAAGGCTTCAGAGGGTTATACGTTATCGAGATCTTTCTCTTCCAAGTCAGCTGTCCGAGGGGGAAACCGCTGAGGACGTTGTGGTGTAGAGATTTGCATTACTGGGCATTGCTAGGCATTTTATGGACATTAGGTCTTGCTGGGGCATTAGGAAGATAAAATGAGATAAAATAAGGTAATAAGATAAAGTGACGTCCATCGGACATTAGTGAGCATTGGTGTACAAGATTTTGGTCAGCGATTTCCCCCTCGCGGCTGTCGTTACGGCACACGTGGCGTGTGTCTCGATTAGACCGATTCGAAAAATCCCGACTGTACTTATTGCGCGGCTCAAACGGTATCTCTCTTTCTCCAGCCTAACGTTTACACACGATATCCTGCCAAGACATTTCGTGCCTCCCACACATATAACTTCTTGCGGCTTTTAAACGCGGCTATCATTATTTCCTGCTGCACCGCCCGTTATAAGACATCGTCGCGCTGACATTCGGGGCCGCCTCGTTCACAAGTGGGACGTGGTGTGGCACACGTAGGCTACTCCTCATTGTGACGATCATTATTACGATCATAGATTCAGGTCAGGTGTATATCCGCATAATGAGCCCGCGTTACAATCCCGCAGAAATTCGGGAGCGAGCGAGCTCTTTCGTGTACGCAATTACATCGCTTATGCGCTGCCATTGTCGCTTCTTTCCCCCCCCGTGTCTCGCCTCTTTTGAGGATGTACACGCACCGGCATAAATGCTGTCCCTATCCTTGTGAGGCGCACGCACACAACTGCAGGGACTCTAGTTGTGTGCGTGCACCTCACAAGGATAGGGACAGCATTTATGCCGGTGCGTGTACGTGGATTACCTTACCACCCGTGTGTCAACGCACTTGCAATTTTTCCATGCGAAAACGCGTCTCCGTAATTAGACTTTGCTTTTGCGGATGCAGCGTAAAATACGCGGGAAAAAAGAAGCTTGGCGCTTTCAATACCGCTTCCCCGCGTAATATCCACCGCAATCTCTGCTGATGAAATCTCTACTTTCCTTTGTGTCGACTCACTTGTCAATGCAGTTCGCTGACGCGCCGCAAGTTCTTGCCGCGAGGTTCTTGCCAGTTTCCCGAGTGAATTTAGAGAAGACACGCACGTGTGCGTACGTGCATGCATATTATACGCATATGCATATATGCGTACGGGGGGGACGGGACACGTGGTCGCGTTTTATATCTGGAGTGCTCGCGAAACTATTTTTAGAGTGACGCTGCAGAGCGCTGGACGTGTGTGTGGCGCGCCTAACGGTTAACCCTGACCCGATAATAAATGTTATGCCCTCGAATAGGTAGCTATAGGTACCTTACCTCCTGGTTGATAATCCGCCCCCTAAGCAGCTTAGCTGATGGTTAGAGACTTGTAACAGAAATCGATCTCGTAGCGTAAAGTCGCGTTGCGTTAAGAGCGTGCTCGGGGAAATGCCGTTTTCACGAGTGTCACGCATGAAAAAAGAAATGAATGGGCGCGATTACATTTCCGCCCTCGCTCTCACTCGGTTCTAGGGCGTTGTCGCGCGTTTTTCCGTCGGTCGAAAAAAGTTTGCCCCTCGAGCGAATCGCGACGATGTGATTGTCACGAGACGAATCACGGCGGGATAAGTAATTTTCGGGACATTGGAGACATTTTATTTAACACGGCAAAACTCGTACGTTTTGATGTGTAATACATTTGATAAGTGGCGAGTGGCTGCTCCAAATACAATTAACCGCGAATATAAGACGCAAGGGACATGCCATGCACAGATAAATCAAGTACTATCTCCGCTGCCACTTTAGCTCATTCGAGGTACCAAGAATGCGTAGGAATTCTGAAAGGCCGATATAATCCGCAATCGATAGTTCATACAGAGTTTGAGATTGTCTCTCCGGGAGCTTAGGCCATTCAGCCTTAGCCTCATCAAAACGCAATCAATAACGGATATTTGATGGAGTAATCCATCATCTAAATAAATCGATCGTCTAGTGTCGCGATTATTGCGATTAATAATCATTAGATAATTATCAAGTGTGATTATATTTCGGAACCTTGTCCGCATAATTAAGACGCCTCTTTAAAAACTTAATCGTACATAAAGTTATTAATTGTGCCGCGGTAATTATCTATATTTTTTAAGCCTCTATTTTATTAAATAGCAGCTCAGTGACGCCAGTCGAGAAATGAAGAATTTGAATAAGTGTGGAAACGACCTTACTGGCAATTCTTTATTACAATAAATCACAACGTTTCGGCCAGTAATGCTGGTCCTCTTCAGGTAACGAACTTACAAGAGCCCCTACAAATGTCTGAAGAACAGAAAAACAACATATGAACTAAATTAAGATAAGATCTCGCGTGACAGAAAATGAAATTAAGGCATTTTTTTATATAATAAAAACTTACAAGATTCGTCAGATTAGAGATGTGAAAATTATGTTGGAAGTCAGAAGTTTCGTTGTACAATGTGTCTGGTCATTCGACGTTACTTTTATTTAAATAGAATAAATATTTGCTTCAGTAAAAAATCAAGTTTAAGCAAATCTATTTACGTAGTTGAAAAAATTTTTTTTGTCAACGCAGTAAGGTCGTTTCCATACTTATTCAAATCCTTTATTTTCTCTTTATTCTAGATCATTTACGTCGGCCCGTCATTTTTCAATTTCTGATTCCATATTTGTCCCTATTCATTTTTCTCTTATTACCGAGTCGGCGTGATATTAGCTCAAGTCGATATCATGTGGGAAAACAACTCGGAAACGGTCCAATCAATCCGCATCCTAATGGCACATTATTCCGGCGGACATTCGCGAAGTCCCTCCCGTTTTATAACAATCGATAAATGCATATAGCGCACACACGAGAAGATTGTGGCCGCTGTATCTGATCGTCTCTCTCTTCCCCAAGCGTCTCTTTATCCACACATTTTTCTTCGACTGCACTGAGGATGAGCGATCGCAGCTGTAATTTTGTCTCCCGGCTCGTATCCGAGTATGAATATGATTACATTAGAGTTTCTTTGTCGCGTTTTACCGTGGCGTTTTAATCGCGTGCATTTGCATATTGAAATTAAATGTAACGAGCAAATAACGCGCGCATTTTCATCGATAATCGCGTTTTTTCAGCGTACTCTGATGCAAATAACGCGCGCCAGACACGCCATTTTCTGATTGATAAATAATGAATATTAACGGCACCCGTGGGAAATTAGTGTCTCGGGTGAGACTTTTAAAGAACCTAAAATCTCTCTACACGAGTGATTCACGTGTCTCGTTTCGAGGGAATTCTTGGTAAAACTCGACGCGACTGTTACGCACGCGTCATTTTTCAATTGAAGACTGACGAATTTTAGCGGCGTTCGACGGGCGCAGGTTTCAAGACAGTCATAATATTTTAACGAAAGTTCAACGGCCACGGCTGGCGCGAAATCAAGCGGCGTAGAGCAGAAATGGGGATTGCACATTCTGTCATCTGTGTGCCAGACGTCGCGATGTCGGGCGGCGAATTAAAAGTACGACGTTGACTGACTTATCTTTATGAAGTATCCTTGCCGAGCGGCGCTGGCAAATGGATTTTCCAGTACTTGACAAGTGACAAGTTCGATGGGCCGAGCGCGACGATGCGGAATCGACCGAGTCAAACCCGTCGTTAACTTTCGACGCACGTGTCATTAATTTTTCGACAGAGATATTAAACGCAATTATCGCCGGCGTTAAATATTAAATATGTAAATCACACAATCGTTATGGTTATAAAACATGAAATAACGATTGTTAATCCTTCGAAGCATGATGGTAACCCACGTTACCACCTTTAACTTCCTTGCTTTTTGGCCATTTCATTTCTAGCTAACGATTTTAGGTCGGGTTTTTGCATTTTCTCGGTATCTTAGCGATAAAAGAACATAAAAAACGTTGAGTAGTCTTTGATATTTATTGTAAAAGTTTTATAACTAAACAAATGTGAAAAACAGCAATTTTTTCGGAAAAGTTCATTATTGTTGTAAGTTTTTTAAGACTTTCTTGAAAACTTTGTACAAAGGGGTTTCCGGGGTCGCTCATTACGAATCTAATGTGATCAGATTTTCAAAATTCAAAATGATCGGCCCAAAATGGCGGACGCAGAGTACGTGAATTTTTCAAGCTTTCAGGTTCTTCCAGCATTTTCGTTTGATTACAGTGTTTAGGGACTCATCACGTCCGCGTCGTTAGCTCTAGGGTAGAGCCGAGAATGAATAAATTCTAAGAAATGATCAAATTTCAATTTTGCATTCGTCATTTCGCGCGTGCTATTTTTTATATTCTATAAGAATTTTCAACTGAAATTTCGATTCCATGGCTCCTAATAATATCTAAATAATGTTTCTTAGCATAGTTGAATTACAGTTGAATGGTGTTATTTTTTAAGTTTGGAATTCCACCATTTTAAATTATGAAAATCTAATAGCGGATTCGTAATGAGCGACCCCAAAGTTGCTTGTATACGAAGTTTCACAAAAAATGGTTGAATAGAAAAATGTATGCTTCAAAGGGTTAACGAAGACTTCGTGCATTGAGTTGAGAAACAAACAAAGGTTAATGATACCGTAATGGATCGGTATTAGATAATTCTGCGACATTTCTTATCGCGAGTTGTTTAGCAACTTTAACACGAGCCTATACCATTCAATTGAGCTTAAGCATATGCGCATGTTGTTTCGCGAGACCTGTCGTGCCAGGTATTATACAACACTTGCATTCCACACGTCCTACATGTTTATCCTACGTGTTTTGCGTACATTTAGCCAAGCGTCGAGGATGTAGATGATAAGAAAAACTGGCCGGTCGTCGCGTATCGACCGTCGTAGATGTGTAATTGCCGGCTGTTGCGACGGTAATTCATGCAAAAGCGCTGCGCTCTTTACACGCCGTCGCGCTCTAACACCGACTACTAACAGTACTAATGAGACTCAATGACGTTGACTCGAGCAGTCGACAGGGCAAGGGCGTCCTTCCGAGCTGGCCTCTCGAGAACCGGTGTCGTTGGTCCGCCGAGGGTCCGGAATCGACCGCGCACGACGTCTAATTTGCCTCACCGACTCGCTGACGGGACCATCCTCGACGAGGACGCTTCTGAGAACTGGTGAGTCACTTGTCAATACTAAAATCACCTCGAGCCGCGGATTTTGTTGCACTCGACTACAAAAGAAAATTTCTCATTTATCGCGCGTTAACGATATTTTTAAGCAACTTGAATTTGCTCCACCAAAAATTTCCAGCTGATTAACAGCTAGAAACAAATCGTTTCTTCAGAGACAAGGGACACCTGTGTTTCAACGATTAATCATATTTACCGTAATGAGCGGAAGAGCGTTAATTAAGATGCGTGATTACACTTGGAATTTCTCAAGCAGTATCACTCTCGTCTGTCAGCGTGTAGGGGATAACTAGCCGTGTTACGGAACGTATACCATCCGGGAATACAGAATCTGATTAAACAGCACTACACGGCAATCAGAGTAACGAAGCTCTCTCTCCCCCCTCCCCCCCCTCTCTCTCTCTCTCTCTCTCTCTCTCTCGCCTTGCTAATGATATTGCGCTGTATCGCGATGCATCAGTGGTATCGCGACGATGACTCGGGCAATCAGTGGACCCACGGATGGCCTTTTCGGTCGCTCGTTACCCAATCGATTACCGCGCAAAGTAGCTGGAAAGACATTAACATTGCGAACAACGACTAACCTACATACTCGGTGCCAATTACTTTGAAACTTTAGTCACGGTTCCGAACTATAACGAGATTGAGGCGTCAAGCGCGCGCTGGTCCAAGTCTTCCTTCGTATTTTGTTCTTCTGTATTCCCAGCGTTCGCGTCCTTAAACGAATTCGATTGTCGAATTACTTCGCGCGCCTCGGGCTGCTCCGGGCGTCCCATGCCTTCTCGCTTTTCTTTTTTTTTTATTCGCTGCTTTAAACGGCACTTGGAAATTTGTTTTAACTGTTCGGAGGGAGAAAGGCAACTCGAGCGTTGTGCGTTCTCCCGTTGTGGGTATTATCCGCATTACATTTTCGGGACAAGATCAACTTTTGATTATGACTGGACTTGGTCGAAACGCTCTTGAGTAAACAGCTGCGTCCAGTAGAGACATGTCAGACTGACGGGAAGATCGACAAACAACCATCGAGCTGTTGGTCGGCTGCACCGAGCGAACTCCCGTTCGATGTGCTTTTTATGCCCGTATTTATAGCCGCGTTTCTGCCGAAGAACTCAGCTGAAATCAATCTTGAAACGCGATACGGTTTAATAGACAGATCTTGAGAATCAATTTGATATTTGTTACGTTATCAACGTCAGTGTTTTCTTGGCCATACCGCGGCATCTCTAATAATAGAGAAAATTAATTGCGAAAAATATGCCTCGGTGGTCGAATTGGTGAGACGCCCGCCTAGAGTGTAGGGAGGTCCAGGGTCAAACTCTGGCTGAGGTGATATTTTTCGCACTAAAGTCTCTGTATTATTAAAGATGCCAGGTGTGGCCAAGAAAACACTCGCGTTGTTAATTACCGCTGGCGACATTGAAGAATTCCGACTAGTTTGTTGCATTATATTTGCAATCACGATTCAGTTGAGAATAAAGTTTGTCTTGACACACTGTCCGAGTTTCAAAGATTAATTTTGGTCTTCAAACAATGGATTTAATCACCTTTTTTTTAAATGGAACAATTAATCAATTATTCAAATTTAAAAAAGTTGAATAATTTGCCGGTAAGAATTAAAATTTGCTATTAATAACATGTAATTATATGCATCCTTCAATTAAAGTGAAGCAAATTTCTTTTTTAAATTTAAATGACGGTGTTTTTTTATTCTAAAATGCTCGCTCAATTAGTCGAACGCAATTAATCGTCATCTTAGGCAATGCTGACGAGCCCAAGTTTAATTCTTTTAAATTAATGTAAAATGCAAGGTAAAATATTCATTGTACATTTATATTTCATAGTGCGTTAAATATTCTGAGTATCTGTACACAGCGGATATACACAAGGCTGCTAGAGCGCTGTTATCGCTTTCGTGTAACGATAGTCAAGCTAGCATGAAGTGACGAGAGTGTCTCTTCCGAGGAGGAAACCGCTGACCAAAGTCTTGTACACCAATGCCCACTAATGCCCAGTGGGCATTGGTGTACATGCATGGTGGCACTGATTAATTGTTCCATTTAAAAAAGGTGATTAAATCTATTGTGTGAATGCCAAAATTTATCTTTGAAGCTCAGACTGTGTGACAAGACAAACTTTATTCTCAACTGAATCGTGATTGCAAATATAATGCAACAAACTAATCAGAACCATTACATTATCATATTATCGTGTTTCATCTTATTTATTTTGTTTCATCTTATTTTATCTTATTTTATATGTATAATGCCTTAGCAAGACCTAATGCCCAAAAATTAATGCCGTAAAAATACCTAAAAATGTCCAGTAATAGCCAATAATGCCGCAAATCTGTACACGACAATGCCCTCAGCGGTTTCCCCCTCGGTCTCTTTCATATAATGCTCCTTACTTATTACCCATTGTCAGTTGTACAATTCATTATAAACAGAATAAATTTACAATTGCGAGAACTAATTAATCGCGCAAGCTTATAGTAACTAATTGTTTACAGGAAATAATCCCACGCGTATAATTAGCCCCGGTAGTGCAATTATTTTATTCTATGTAATTAGCAGAAGGGGACGTAATTAATCATGTTTCCGCAAATGTATTTTATCTTAAGGTATTAAACGTCGCCGTACTTTTAAAGTTGTTTACCGTATCTTTAATTTATCGCCGAAACCAGGTGATATCGCGTTTCGAAGCTATGTTTTACGGAAGTTTTGTTCGAAAAAGAGACATACGTATCCCGCAGCCCTGGAAAAATATCTCGTGTCGAGAGATCGGAATTGATATCGCGCTGCACCCGTTGGCATTTCCCGATTCGGGTTCACCCGAACACACGGTGCCCAGTATCTGGTGGCCAGCGCGCTGCGAAATCTATCTACGATCGCGAACACGCTCGAGTAAACAACCGGGTGTTGCGGAAACGACGACAGCGTGCGCGACGAAAGAATACGGTAAACGACGATCGTCCCCGCTGTCATCGGGGACCGATTCCGCTTGTACGACTTTATTACTCTGCGTTACAGTTACGATAACAAAAATTGGCATCGATTATCGTTGCGAATTGACGAGCGCCGGTGCCGCGCTCTCGTTAGGAAGCAAAATTTTTCTGAAAACAAATCTACCTTCGCGGATTCCTTTTATTCTCGGAGCATGATGCCGCGCTTTTCCCGAGCTTATTTCCGTGTTCTGGGAGCGGCCGGTCGATCGATATATATATTCCTCGTCGGGAGCAATTTCGGCCATGGCGATTGTACCACACAATTCCGAATAGGAATACGACGTACAGAAAATGTTGTAAACCCCGACGATGCTATTTTCTCGAGTTACTTTTAATGCACGCCGTTACACGCTCTTTTATCTTTGGTCGTTTATTAATAGTTTAATTATTTTTAGCTCTGCGATTAAAAACTCCATTGTTCTTTTTATAAATACATGTAAAAGATAAGCGTAGAAGATAGAGGAAAAAAGTGCTAGCGTTGTAATTCTTTTCGTTCGTTCGTCAAAGTGAGATCGAAACATAGTTTATTATCACTTATTTGTAGGTAAAAAAAGAGGATACAGGACGGTATCGGCGGCCATTAATTGTAAGTGATATGGAAGAGATATCATGATCTCGCGGTATGTATTGGCTCGATAAGGCCAAGGAATTTAATTTCATCCTCCATTTGTCTTCCAATGATAACTACGAAATTTCCCACATTGCTGGATTTGGCTCGCTGAAAGTTTCGTATATATCGCAGCTTCCGCCGTAAAAGGACGGCAAAATATGTTTCCGCCAGAAAATTTCCAATAAGAGACACCTGAGGTGAAAGACACGTCTCAAAGCCGTTTATGCTCGGAGACAAATGTGATCTGTGCCTGAAAATATAACTATAGGTGAGGAAATACAACGTAAATAGATCGAAACTGGATATACGTGCCTATACAGGTATACCCTGTTTCACTAGGAGTCAGCAAAGAAACTTTGCCTCGTTTCCTCCTCGCCTTTGATGAATAATATAACCGCGAGTATGATTCAGCAGAGAGATCAAATTTACTTGAAGCACGCAGTTTCCACGAGTTTTAATAAAGGATGTTGGAAACGGCCGCTATAATCTGTTTAGAATATCGAATCAACGTTACCGCGTTAAATCTGCGGATCCCGACTAAACGATTGCGAACGAACGCGAATGAACAACTCGCCACGCTGTTCGCGTCTATTAAAACTAGTTTTTCACTCGTGCTCGCGCGCGTTTATTTGCTTGGTCCAGATCCGGTTTTATCCATACAAAGTAAGGCATTTTTTTAACGATCGATTTATCAACTTTTTCTTTACGCGGAAAGAATTTTGCACTTAACATTGTGGAAATTATAACATGTGGACAGTACAAGTGTGGAAATTGTCCACATTTGTTATACTTGCAAAATCGATCCGCCGTGCCTCGTATCGTATATTGTTAGATTTCGTGGAGCCTCGACCTTCGGACTTCGCACCTTTGTGATTGTCATAGGGATACATACGTTTAAGATTTAAGAACAACGGGGTAGTAACCGCCGGAGGGCAGTACTTGAGGGTTGCAAGCTCGTGCACGGCACGCAACGCGGCTTACAGCTCGGCGGTATAAACCACGCTGAGGACCGAGAGGCACGAAAAACGACAGAGAGTAATGCGATCGCGCTTGCGACCTTGGGGCAGACAGGAACGAACGGGTGAGACAGGGTCGCGTCAGGTGCAGGGTGCAGGGTGCAGGGTGGTCCCGTCTTCAAGGTGAACCTGCCACGTCGCGTGCAACGCTCGCTCGCGACGACGTGTTAGAATCGAAAAGTCAGTCCTAATCGAGTCGCGAGCACAATGCGCAACGAAGATAAATGCCGTGGAAAATGCGAGCTTGTCGAGCTTGTACACGATCGCGATCTTGCGAGCATGACAAATTCCAAGTGAGCTGAAACCGAGCAGGTTTCCCATCGGTGTTGTCGTATCAGTGCGATAATATCCATAT